TCCAGGTCAGGTCAATGACCCAGAGTCGGGAAAATCGGACCTATTAGAAAGTCGTAAAGTGTGGCTGCTAAGGGTTTTTGTCGGGGTGCTGATCACGAATATCGTGTTAGTTTTGATCACAGATGATGTCTTTAAGCATTTAGACCAGGTCGGGTCAGGTCAGGTCAGGTCAACCAGTAGGGGTTGTGACGGGTATTCGTAGTGCGTGTCAACCGCCTCTGACAGCTTCGTAACATGTTACGAAGGCACCAAAACTACTTCGTAAATGTTCAAATGGTTGCTAAATTCGAATTCAGCTCCAAAAACTAGCCTAGAATCATGTAAAACTCGAAAAAGTGAACCGAGGTCACCCGAGGTCACCAAAGGTCAATGACCTGACCTGACCTTCATGTGACCTTGACACCCACCCTAATGCATGGGAGCAACATCAAATCACATGTTTGAACGTTTGAAACCACGAAAAGCTTGCAAACGCGCGGCTAATGCGAGCCGACATACGCCGAATCGCGATTCCGGCCAAACATGGTCTCGGAAAAGAGGTCACAGGTCAAAGGTCATTTGGGTCAGGGTCATTAAATTTTCAGGGTAGGTGTAAAATTGATCAATGTGAGGGTACTGAAACTTTCGTCGCGATCGGCCGCTTTTTTTGCGAGTTATTCGCGAAAAACCATGGGGGGGTCCATCCGACCCCCCTACACATGCGAGGGTTAAGGTCAAACTGAGGTCATGTTCGAGTAAAAATGAGCAAAAAACATGACATCTTCAAACGCTCACCAAATCTACAGTTAACAAGCACTTTTAAAGTTCCTTATGTGGTTGTGTAGAGAAAAGACGGCGCTACAAAACTGCTATCTTGTATTTTCGAAATTTTGGGATTTTAACCCCCCAAAATAAAAAAATGGATTTTTTCAGAAAAACTTAAAAAAATATTTTTTTTCGAATTTCGAAAAAACCGCAATATATGTAATAGTCCCTGCGCTCTTCGATATACATACCAAATTTTAGATCGATACCTCCTTTTTTGGCCAAGTTATGGCGAAAAAACTGTTCAAAATTGATGACGTCAAATTTTTGGACTCAATTTTTAGCACTTCTAGACCACGTAGCGCAAAATGGAGGCCTTCATTCAACTCCTTGTGACGAGCTGCATCGAATCGATACCCATTTTATGCAAAAATATCAACTTTGAAATTTGACCTTATTTGACCTGACCTTGACCTGACCTTGACCTGACCTTCACCAAAACATAATTTCAACTAACCCCAAGGGCTGCCTGTCCCACATAATCGCATTTGGCATATAAAATGGACCATAAAACACGCATCACATGATATTTTTAATTTGTGACCCTCAGTTACCTGACCTCTGTGACCTGACCTGGTATCAGTGACCTCAAATAGCAAAATATGTGTTTGACGAACATTTCTCCATCGATAATTTTCAATGAAATGCATTTTACTCGATTTTACAAGTTACAACGCATTTCTTGAAATGCCTGTAAACGGTGAAAATTCGACCTTTGACCTGACCTGTGACGTCATCGGTTAGACAGAGGTCAATGAAATTAGGTCGCAAGGTAATTCCCCGTTGGGGCTATCCAACGCCGTTTGCCGTTTGTCGCTATGTTGCGTGGTTCTCGAGATCTTAGGGGGGGGGGCAAAATGCCCCCCCATCAGACCGCGTTGCTCGGCAGACCCCATCAGGGCGCGGGTTAACGAAGCCTAGGAGCTTTCATTAAAAATTTACTTGTCTCAAAGGTTAGTAAGCGCTTAATCTTCATCAGGTTCAGGTTCTTAATCTTCATATTTTTTTGTCTCAAAGGTATAGAAATTTCGACATTTTCAGAGACGTAACCACTTATTCTCAGAAGATGCATGCTGATGCATGGCATTGACAGTCACCATGTAGCGATATGTGACTGATATCGACACATTCAACAGATCCGAGTCCATTTGACATGTAGCTATAAATTCTGCCAAATTCCGTCGATCTAGCTGGACTCCATAAACACGATCCCTGTTGGTTACCTGGCAACTGTCTCGGGATCTGGCCGCTCCCCGGTCGTGCAGCGTTCATATGTCTCTGCTGGCTGCTGCCGTCACCGGCGTCCTCGCCTGGTAGCTCTGCCAACATCAGAGCGGCAGCGATATTTCACCGGCAGGCACGTCAAAGGACCTACTCTCGTGTTAGTGGGAGGTCGGGTGGACCATGGTCCTGGCCACAGCCCAGCAGACGGGGACATGGCCTCAGGGTCGCCAGCGCTACCACTGACTGCCAGCGGCTTAGGGATGAGGAAGCAGGCGGGATCGTCACAAGGTTGACCATGAGATAAATGATGAATTTAGTTAAACTAGTCATTGAGTGTGCCATTTTAACAAAATGGCTAAGGTCATCTCAGAGATCAAAATGTAATCGTTCCCACTATATTTTGCTAGAGAAATACAGCATTGTTTTGTCTGAATGAGCTGTCATGTCTATGTAAACGTGAATTGTGAGAGGCATTATAAAAAACAAAGTTACTGGGGTTTGGGCTATTTATGCCGTAATTGAGGAGGCGTAGAATTGACATGCATCCTTGCAGAGAAAACCAAGAAAAAGAAGAAGAAGAGTAAGAAGAAGGAGGAGGAGCCGCCTGTTGAGCAAGTGGAGCCACAGGAGCCCCAGGAGTCCGAGTGGCCACCTCAGAATGTCAATGGTATATCGCCTGTCTGATTCAGTATATGCAGGCTGCATTCAGGATGTGTTTGATGTAGTCAGGGCGAAGTATACCGTCACGCCAGGAAAGCAGAGTAGCAACAGAATAGCATATAGTGGCAGAATATCGAACAGTAGCGTTTGGTGTTGGGTTATCGGTCTTCTTTGATCGTCACGATTGTAGTATATTTAGCATTTAGCAGGACATAATCAGGCACTTGTTCCATGAAGTGTTAACTTGCGTTGTTGTAGTTAGTGGTTGCACTTCGCAGTTGTAGTTGTGTTATCACAAGGTGTGGTTACGGAAGATAACAGTGCTGCTAAGTGCTAGCTAGTATTAGTTGTTATCGCGAAAATGATATGCAAGCTGTTGCAGGCATTGATTGTCTGAATGGATGTGAGTTCAGCCAGGACTTTTGTGCACTCACGTATAGTACCAGCCAGCTCGGCGGGTAGTTATACGAATATGTAGCTTTTGAGCCATGTAACAATATTCAGTTTCATTTATCATTGCACATATAGCTACCCCGTAGTTACAGTGCTCTTTGTTGGGATGGGTAGCTCCAAGAATATTTTAATTGAGGGCATGGACTGACGCTGCGTTTATTAGAATCCGCATGCGTTGGTGTGACTTTTCAGTTCGCCGTTTGTGTTCCCAGATCAGAGTTGTTTTGCGTAAGCCATGCGTAGTGAAAGGGTTATAACAAGAGGACAACATGTGTATTACTTCACATAGATGTGCATTCGCAGGCGAATCGACGACCTAGGGCGAGTGGTCTGTGGCATCAAAGGCACTGTAGCGGGTGTCCCATGTTTAAGCACCGCATTAAAGACAGTGGCTTCCATGTTTATTGAGATAACACAAGGCGAGTGACTCTAACTAAATCGCGTTTCATACTATTTGTTTATCACACCAGCACAAAGTGTTTGGTTTCTGGCACATCGTATTTAGCGCGTCCTCGATGTCTCATTTTTGCTCCTCGAGCACGCAGGTGTTATAATATTCGTAAAAAATTGTGGTTTGCATATACTGCATTCTAGAGAAAGGTTTAACCCTATTAGTGGCAGGCTCCTGGCTACCCCTATTAGTGGCAGGGGGGGGCTGTTTACGACCCCCCCCCCCTGATATCTCGAGATCTAATGGGCCGATTTTCAAAATTCAAACGGCATTCGATTTCGCTCAACGTGATCTACATTTCTAAAAAAAAAATAAAAATTAAAAAATGTCAATAGGGGGGTAGAGGGGGGTAAAAACGTGCAAATTGCAGATACATTTTAGACTGTTTATCACGGCCAGGTTTCTGAACCAATCTTAACGCAACTTTTGCCGATCGATAGAGAATGAACCAGGAATTTACATGGATCCTAAAAATATGCATTTTCAAAAATCATAGGCGGATACAGATCATTGAGATTGGGGGTACACAAAAAGTATAGTAAATAAGGTTTTTGTTGGTACTGTTTCTAAAAAGGGTGGTAATGGTCTTGTTATGTTACAATTTTCTTATGAGAGAACGACTACAATTGTATTGGTCATGCATTGGCGGTGTCAGGGCACCTATGTTGGGAGGTAAAACATAACCCTTTTTGGACGCCTGGATCCGCCTATTATAGCAAAAACGTGTCAAAAGAGGATGCGCAATAACTTTGTATATGTTATCACATGATACCTTTCATTCACTGTTCGTAAAACTGGTGCATACAGTTATAATACATCAGCATCGTGATCTTCGCCCAAATGACTCGCTTCACGAATAGGACCCCCCAATTCCCAGTGCTCTGGAGCCGCCCCTGGTAAAGTTATGAACTTGAAATTTTCAGGGAATGTGCCCAATTTAGTTTTAGGAAAAGTCAGAAAATTTCAGCATCGTAGCTTCAGCGGTTTCGGAGATATTCCCGAAAAACCTGAGGGGTGGATGAAAACAACCCCCCCCCCCTGCCACTAATAGGGTTAAGAGGTGTTTTTATTACAGCCACTTCCTTTGAGCTTTCTCAACAAATATTGAAGCTATCGTCTTCTTAGAATATTGCATATTATTGTGGGACACCTTGCATTTATGATGCAGTGTTCAATTCCATCGCCTTAGTGTGTTTTGCAGCAAAGTGTGCACGTGCAGCAGCTATTTGCATGTTATTACGTCACGCTGTTTTGCATGCCACTTCCAAACATCACCATCTTATATGCAATAAAAACAGTATGTTTTCGAGCCGGTCGTTTACTGGGTGTTCAGCAGTGTCGATTGAGCTGTGTTTTCTAGCGAGCCGAAAGATGACGTCATTGAATCGAACCGCTCGGTATATTTCAGAGGCCGAGATGGAGGCTCCTCCAGCGGAAGGTAAAACACTATGGCACTGCATGAACATAAACTATAGAACGGACATAGAGTAGATCGTAGACTGACTAGACTAGCGGTATATAGACTGTAGACTGTAGACTGTAGAAGCATACCGTAAAGGACATATGGCACGTGTGTAGTGATAGTAGTAGCGTAAGTAGCTTAATCTATTTAAATAAAACGGTGCAGTCATGCAGTTTCTATTGTAGTTATTGTAGTTTCAGTCGTATTTTGAGCAGTTACTAACTAAGTAACCATACCAGTGAGAAACAAATGCACGTTTGGTGTTACTCACTGAATACGTACAACAACAACATCATTATCAACAACAGCAACAGCAACAACAACAACAACAGCAACAGCAACAACAACAAGTACCTACTTTTGGTAGAATAAAACTTACTATGTAGTATGTCATGTCATGTTTAGCAAACCGCATTTACTATATACTGCCTTATGGGTAGTAGCCTATGCTATCCGTATCCTCACCATGTGCATTGTGCATTTATCTCGATACCTGTCCACCATAGGAACAACTGTACGTGTGCAGACTGTGCAGCGGTCTAGTGAGGGTCCCTGTCCTGTGCGCTGCAGTAGTTCAATAAGGCACTGAAGGTCGTTTACAAAATTCAAATGTCAACCCAAGAGGTCCATTTGAATGGTAATTGACAATAACATACATAAACCGATCGTCAGTTTTGTTTCTCTGGCTTAAAACGAATTTACAGTAAATGCTATCAAGGTACTAAAAACTTGCACTTACTGAAATACTGTGCAATGTGAGTGTTTTATTTGCACTGATGTAAAAATAAATACCCCGATGTGTTTATCGGTGTGTCTTGCGCATGTGTAATGCTTTGTATGACATATAAGACATATATGAAATACAGACAAATATGGCACCGTAAGACGCATACATACAAATGCAAAGAGAAAACCAAAAGCGGCAACCATCGGCGAGCGTGTGATCTCGTCCTTTGCAGTCGCTTACCCTCTCGTTCTGCGCAGACGCGCCGCCGGCTGACGACGCGCTGGTGAACGGCGAGGTGCCTCCCCCTCTGGACGACTTCGATTTCGACCGGCCCCAGCAGATCGAAAAGAAAAAGTCGCCCTACCCCGTCTTCTGGAACCGGCCCAAGGCCAAGATGTATCGCATGAACTTCGACTACGGCGAGACCTACTACAGCAACATGATGGCCTACCTCAACAGCAAATCGACCAGTGAGTGCCTTTGATGTTCCGCTGCCGCAGACCAATTTATTGGCCCATTGCACATTGACTAGGTAAGCACAGCTGGGTGGGGATATAGCAGAGCGGCTGTGATTCATTAGTGCGGTTATTATGAGAGCCGTGGTCGGAAGCTATAATACACGAGGCGGACCACAAATATCATACTCGACCTAAGCGATGTCAGACGGTCCATTCCAGCTGAACTGTTGTTCTGTCTGGAGCATTATTCAGGCATCCATGCGGCTGCCTGGATGTAAGCTAGTCCGCGCGCCTGGATCCTGAAGGTAGACTGACCCGCAGAGCAGTAATGCATTGCGGTACAGTATACCAAGTAAGACGAAAACTGCCGTATAGCTGCGGAGGATACTCTTGCGGATAGGATTGCGGAGGATACTTGAGGATACTCTTCTTTTGCTTTGCTGTGTGCCCGTTATGTCGTGAAACTTGGTGCACGCTGTCAGTCCAGAATGAGGTCGTTGATGCCGTTGTCAAGAACGATTAACAACACATTATGAAAAGCTCAGCCGCTGGAGGACTACACTGAAAGCTTTTTTGATTCCTTTTAAGCATATTAGGGGAATTGGTCTAAAACAACACCCTGATCATTTCTCCGAATATACCCCAAATACACTTTCTTTGAATATCGCTCTGAAATTCTTCTAATATACCCTACACTGAAAACCTTTTTGATTCCTTTTAAGCATATTAGGGGTTTTGGTCTAAAACAACACCCTGATCATTTCTTCGAATATACCCAAACTATACCCTTGTTCTTTAAATAGCTCCCTTGAATTCTTCTAATATACCCTAGTAAGTACCGAAGAGGAAAGGAATATGATTCCTGTTCTATTCCCTGCGATACCCACAGTACACTCCTTTTAATCTACCAAAATACCCTTACATCGAAACCTCTAGTATTCCTTCTAAGCGTATAAGGGGAATATTTTGCAAACTATACTCGCATTATACCACTTAACCCGCGCCCCGCTGGGCTATTCAGCCATACGCGCCCTGCTGGGGGGGGGGGGGCAGATTCTGCCCCCCCCCCTGTCTAACTTCCGAACCGATGGTCGTAGAAAGACGAGGAAAACGGCAATCGAAAGCTCTCAACAAGGCGGGTCTTAAGAGCCCAATTTTTTTGCTTAAGTAGGTCAGAGGTCAGGTCAAGGTCAGGTCAAGGGTACAAAATGCAAGTTTCTACAGCATCGGCCTTGCACCGTAGTTGCCGAAGAATGGAATGAGGCTGATTGCCCAAAACGTGTTCTTAGACTACCAAGACAATATTCGTTGCATACAATGTCATTCAAAGGTCAAGGTCAAGGTCAGGTCAGGTCAGGTCAGGTCACCAAAAACAAAATATAGAAAAGGGCATGTGTGACACATGTTTTATGGGTCATTTTACTCATAGAATTCAATAGGCACACTCAATAAGTGATCTGGACCACCTCTGGATGAATTTCAGGTCGAGGTCAGGTCAAGGTCAGGTCAAGTGAGGTCAAATTTTGAAAATGGTTGTTAAGGCCTAAAAAGGTGTCTATCTGATGCAGTTTTTCACGGCGAATCGAATGGTGCTATTTTTGTTTCCGTACGAGGTCTAGAACTTCCAAAACATTCATTTTTCAAAAAAATTGTGTGTCGTGACGTCATAAAATTTTAAATAACTCCCACATTTTTGAACCGATTCTTATAAAAATTGGTATGTAGGTGCACATAGAGCAGTTCTCTGACATATATTCCGGTTTTTACGATACACTCAAAATGTTGGATTTTATGGTTATTTTCCCAAAAAAGTCAGTTTTTTGAAAAAAGTTGGGCCGAAATTCAACATTTAAAAAAAAACTGAGATAGCTATTTGATAGACAAAGTAGAATCACGTATAACCTTTTTTGTTACGTCTTGATTCCTTTAAAATTGAAGATGTTAGCGGCGTTTGAAATTTTGCCGTTTTTGAGGCGAAAATGGCGAACACGACGTCACTAAAACGTCAATTTATCAAAAATTTTCCGACGGATTTCGCTCAAACTTTCAGTGAATGTGTCAAATTGATGTATGATTACGTACTAAAAGTTTGACGTCGCTGGCGTAACGCGTTTAGAAGTTATTGGCGAACAACGGGAGGGGGGCAGATTCTGCCCCCCCCCCCCCCCAGCGGGGCGCGGGTTAACACTCCCGTATTATTCTGTGATTTCCATCACTGATCTCAATGTATTCTTGCATTAGACCCCACATAAACCCAGAAGGGAAAATAATAATGCCCTAGGTATATTCGTCGTAGAACTTGCTCAGAAACTGTCTCATTACTCTCAGCTCCCTCGTCCGATTTCCCTTTTTATATCGTAACACATCCAAAACTCACAGACATTTGGTCTTTTATTATTATTCATGTTTTACATTGGTACGACAACAGCATGGACATAGCTTCACCGTTTCTCTTCCGATAAGACGCAACTTGGGATAAGTAAATCTGAGATCATCATGAATGGATATTTAATATCTATTTCGGTTATAAAACACGAAAATCAACGGTGGTTTCAGCAACGCAAAAATGGCGTGTATGTTAAATAACTGTTCATTACCAAAGAGATGTCATTAGAGCAATGCATATCCTGTAACAATTGCTGACTTTCACCTAGCAGCTTACACGACACATTTTTACAAGACAAAACTTATATGCCGGACCCTGTAAAAGGGATAATAGGACCAGATACTGCGCACTGCTCGGGTCCGGGCGCTGACCGTAAAATAGTCATGCAGATCTACACCGGGTGCGGGCAAACTCGCCCACCAAGCGTCTCTTGGGTGAATTTTCCGGTTTCCGGCACGCCGAAAAGTCGTTGTCGCACATGCGGAACTTTATATACTGTGGTGGTTGTAGCTACAACCCCAATTTTTAAAAGTACAACCCCAATGGCAAAACTACAACCCCAACATTGGAAAATTAATAATCAGCCTAAAACACATGAAAATGAACAAAATATGTATCATACAGAAGCAGATGATTGAGATATATCAAGAAAGCGAAGATATCAATAAATTAGGACATTTTTTGATTTCCAGATGCTAAAAACATTGAAGGTGCTCTGTTAAGAACATATTATTCCGCTGAGACAGTGAGCATGATATGAAAGTTAATCACTTCACACTTCTTAAGCATACTAAGTCAATCATATTGAAAGTGTTCCAAAAAATCTTAACATGTAACATGAAAGTGTGAAGCAAAAAAATCATAACATTCATCATACTTTTGCAGTGGCGGATCCAGCTTAGAGTTTTTTTTTGTGGGGGGGGGGGGCAAACCATAACAATTTATCGATTCTTTCCATGCCTCGTCCATAGGCGTAATGTTAAAATTATGCCGTTTGGGAGGCCCCCCCCCCTGGATCCGCCACTGTACTTTTGGGTTTTCTCACTAAATATTTCATACCTGTGGGCTGCGCTTAACAAATAGATAAGCATAGATGAAAAGTTTGACACAAAACAGTAAGCTTCAGAAATAAATTAACCCAACCTAAGCCTTCACCCTATGTAGCATTCTATCACCATAATCTGACCATAATATTGCGTGTCAACAACCACAGAACGCACAATCAAAATACATTTAAGTGAAATATCACTCTGTTCGCAATTTTGTCAGTTGGCACAATGCCACCAATCAGCACGAATATTTGGCTAAAATGACGACACTTAAAACCAACGTTGACGACCAAAAAAACCAATCCTGTGCGATAATTAGTGTTGATAATCTTACTGACAGGCTCGCGAACAGAATGCAAACTAAGTCATATGTAAGCCAGCATGACGCATCTGATACAAATGCAAGGTTTTGGCGACGTCTGTCAATTCAGCAGCAACGAATATCAGCCTCACAGCAGCATATTTCGAGGTCTTTCGATTTGGCTGAAAATCGGTATCCAGGGCCTCCTCGATGCGCTGATTCCGAAAATATGCCTCTTTGGGGTAGTATTTTGCACCGTTAACGAGTTAACGACCAATTAACATTTTAACGGGAAACGGCGGGGTCTTTCGATTTAGTTGAAAATCGGTGTACAGGGCCTCCTCGATGCGCTGATTCCGAAAATGTACTTCTTTGGGGTGGTATTTTGCACCGTTAACGAGTTAACGACCAATTAACATTTTAATGGGAAACGGCGGGGTCTTCCGATTTAGCTGAAAATCGGTATACAGGGCCTCCTCGATGCGCTGATTCCGAAAATGTACCTTTTTGGGGTGGTATTTTGCACCGTTAACGAGTAAACGGCCAATCAACATTTTAACGGGAAACGACGGGGTCTTTCGATTTGGCTGAAAATCGGTGTACAGGGCCTCCTCGATGCGCTTATTCCGAAAATGTACCTCTTTGGGGTGGTATTTTGCATCGTTAACGAATTAACGGCCAATTAACATTTTAACGGTAAACGGCGGGGTCTTTCGATTTACCTGAAAATCGGTGTACGTTCAGTGTCTCAGCGGCAGACAAACAAGCCGTTATGTTTTCCTAGCCATCGTGGCTGTGAAGAGTATGCGTTTTGTTTACGATTCGCCAAACAATGCATAATACATTTGCTCGTTGAAAAAGATCATCTAGACTCTAGTTAATTGAAGTATTCGGTGATATGAAAAGGCTGTGGCATTTATTATTTAATTTCCTCAGGTTGAGATTATTTAGATCCAGTGTTAGGTTCCTTTGCGGCATTGTGTTCGGTATGTTGTCCTCGTTTGCAAAGTATCTCATGTCTGATCAGTCACTATTCCGGTTTCTACTACCCGTTTCCGTAATAGACGTATTCCAGACGACAGTGGCATTAATATACAAAGATGGACTCGTTTTAAGTTTTTTAGTCTAAAAATAACGTATTCCTGTTTAGGTCTTCGTTGTCAATTGCCACGAGTGGCTTGAATTGTTACTCGTAGGGAGAGAGCCTTGCTCCAATACTGAGTAATGTTTGTGTCAAATGTCGAAAGAAACAAGTATTCATAGGGACTGTGATTTT